GCAGATTTGTATGTATTTTTTCTTCCTGATTTGTTTTTAGCTATGTGTGTAGTGATTGTGTGTTATGTGTAGATAATATGTATATTAATGCTTCATTTTTATGCAGTTTGCTAATGTGAAATAATTTATCATTTTGTGCAGAATGGACATTATTTTGCCCCACATAATGTGGATTATGGGGTGCTTAGATTCCACACTTTGTGTGATCCTAGCATTCCTAGCCAGATAAAAGAGTTATTGTCTCCAAATGCTTTGAAGCTTTTTAAAAACACTTGTTTTGGTTACTTACTGTCTCTCCCCTCCATTTGTATGCAAAACCAAGCTATTCATCTTCTGATGAAGTATGAACTGTCTAAGTCTAATGAATCCTTTTTTTTAGTCCACTTGAAGGAGGAAAATTTGAATTTTTCATTGAGAGAGTTTGCTTTAATTACCGGTTTAAATTGTGTGAATCAGTTTACAGATTATGGATATACTTCTAGTCATATTAGCAAGTTAATGAATAGCTATTTTCCTAACAAAAAAAGAGTAGAGAAGTGGTATTTGAAAAATATAGTAACAAATAGATCTTGGGTAAACGATGAGGATGCAGTCAGGTTGTGCATTCTTTATCTTTTGGAATTTTTGTTTGCCCTTATGACAAACACCATGTGTTTTTTATAGACCACTTTAGGTTCTATTTGGTAGAGTCTGGTCAGTTTGAGTCATACCCATGGGGTATTAAATCGTTCAATCAGGTTACGGATTCCGTTAGGCATCGTCTAAATCTCCGTGTACATTCTTATCTCATACGGGGATGCTCATTAGCCTTGCAAGTGTGGCTTTATGAGTGTTGCTCGACCGTCAGCACGGAGCTTGCTACGAGATGTTCTGACTTAATACCTCGCATATTAAGATGGTCATCTACTAAAGGGTAGATTTGGTTAACTGCCTTTGAAGAGAAAATGATCAAGCCTGAGTGGATTAAGGTATTTTTTTCCAGTTTTGTATATTGCTATATTTACCTTCATAATTTCTACAATTAGTCTACATTTTCTGCCTTAGTGGAACTAACTATTTTTTTCATCATTCACTTCACAAGCATGACTGAATCTGGAGAAGAGATTGGAGTGCTTACTCTGTCAAACAAGATTGAGTATGAAGATGAATAGGGTGCACAATCATCAGAGGTTCCAAATGCTGATTCTCCAACATTGGAACCCAAACATACAGATTGTCAAGAGGACAAGGAATCTGTGGCTAAGAAGCTCAGGAAGCTAGAAAAGGGAATTGAGCAGGTAATATTATTAACTACAATATATTTACATATTTGCTACAATTTATCTACATTTCATAACAATTTATGTAGTATACATTGTAGTTAAATTGTAGTATAATTCTATAGTCAACCATGTTGGGATTGCACACATTGTAGTTAAATTGTAGTATAACTGTAGCAATTTGTAGACAATTGTGAAAACAATACTGCCTCGTACATAATTAAACTGATTTGTAATTTATTTGAATAAAATTACAAACTAACTATAATTTTTAACTTTTAGGTTGATGGAAAGTTAGAGAATTTTAGTAAGGCTGTATTTGAGGAACTCCATGACCTTCGAGTGTCTATAGATGATTCTGTGAAGAGTGTTTTGAATTTGATAAATAGGAGATATGATGTGGATGAGGCAAAGGTAAGAGTTGACATATATTTATATACCAAAACAAATTATGACATATGAAACAATATACTCAAACTAACATAAAATCTTTAGTTTGCTGGTAGTTCAACCAAAAATAATGACCAACAACAAGGAGTGAACAACCAACAATTTCAGTTCAATATTGGTGATCAAGTGCATGCAAGCACAAGCAACACAAGTATCTACAAAATACCTACAAATATATACACCTAGTATAAAACTTTATAGAGCATAGTTTTATTATTCACATTTTATCTACAACTTCCTACATATATCTACAACTTTCAAGGCAATATTATCTAGTATTATTTACCTTTTTTAATTATAAATTGAAGCTGCAGTTTGTCCAGAACATGTTCCAACACATGTTGACTTATATTCAGAATTTCAAGAAGCAGCTGAGGTAGAACAAGCAGGTATAATATCATACTGTCATTCAGAATAAATAATTGTTGTTTATACAATTTGCTATTCCTGTTAAGTAAGTTATGTTTTATGTAACAGATATTGAAGATATCAATGCACAGTCCCCAATTCACGGAGTGACTGTAGCAGCTCAGACAGAACAAGTCATTGAGAAACAGCTAAATGAAGGTGAAGATGCACAGCATGTGGATGAAGTTGTTTCTGAAGGATCAGACATTGATAAGAAGGGTGTGACATTGGATGACTTTGAGTTGCCAGACAACTTAACACAATTGGTTAAGTATGGCGAGCCCATACCAGGTGAAGCAATCCCTATTCATCTGGGGAGAACCAGGCAACCGGGGAAACATGCACGATCACCTTTCATACCTCTATATAGTTCTAGAGGCAGCAGCTCTATTGGACCTAAATTTTTCTACCTCAAACACCCCTTCACAACTCTTATAGGTGAAAATGTAGATTATGATATGTTAGATAAGTTCAACAAGTGGTTATACCACCATAGTAACAAAGTATCTAAGAGGTATGAATGCTTAATTTGACACTTTAATTTCATCATTTTAAAGTTTAAATATTTAATTCATTCTGTGATTTTTTTGATTGGACATTTATTTGTTGTTACAGGAGGAAGACTCCCTTTTCCATAAAGGATAACCAAATCAAGCCTTGGTTAGACCTTGGAGTTGAAAGGTGGATAAGAAGGACTGATTTTATTCCCTTGCTCACCCCGGACAAGTCCTCAATGACTCGGTAAGTATCAAAGAATAAATTCACAAGATATATTTTGTATTCTGTTTTGTAGTATAATTGTAGTTATATTGTAGATATGAAATATATGTGACCATGCATTTTATTATAAATTGTAGATATAATGTAGACATTTCTTATAAATGCTGCTCTTATTATTTATAGTGTGATTGTATTTAGGTTGGACCTTATGTATCATATTTGATGATGAATTGTATGTAAAAATTGTATATTTGATAATTTGGACAGAATTGGTATATCTGTATTTCATGATTGCAGTTAATTTGTAGTTAAATTGTAGAGCAAGTTGAAGACTTATAATATTAAATATAGTTTGGATGTAAATATTATTGAGACCTTATGGTAGTTGCTGTGTTCCATGTTTTGCTGTGTATAGCAGCTAAAGTGTAGCTATTTGTTAGATTATTTGAATTCTGGCTTTGTAGTTTAAAGTGTAGCTGCTTTGTTGATAATTGTAGTTGCACTGTAGCTTATAGTAGATTTTATTTTATTTTACAACACATTGATGTTATTATGTATTACCTGAGAAAAAGAGGCAAATATGGCCCCAACAACAATAACACTAGGTTTACAACAACCGATTGCTTGTTCAAGTCAAAGATTGAACAAATCTATGAGAAGTTCATAAGTTCTTCGCCAGAAAAAAAGTATTTGGTTGTTAAACCCAATGATGATGTTGCAGAATATATTCTTGGGTATAGACTTCTTGCTAATGTTGCCTGGGATGAAGTTGACTATGTCATCATGACCGTGAACATTGTAGAGAATTTCCATTGGTTGTTGGTCATTTTCGACATAGCGGACAAGCAACTTTATGTGTATGATTTCATGGTGTCTTCACACCATCATAATGCTGTTGAATCATGTGTTGATAAGTTTTCAATCATTATCTCTCTATATTTGTCTTGCACTGGTTTCTACGGGAAGCGTAAAGACATTAACTTCAAGACCACAAAGGCATACATTGAGAAACCAGTTACAGACCCTCTCAACATACAGTGGGTGGTTGCGGAGATTCCACAACAAAAGGAAGGATCACTGTAAAAAAACTATTCTCTCTTTCTAGATGTTTAATTATTTTTTTTATAATCATTTGTTAAATAATTAAATTTGTTTTGTCTTATGCATCGATTGTGGTGTATTTGTGGCTGTTTTTGCGGAGTATGTTAGCATTGGAAATTTGTCAATTCCTTCAGAAGACCTTTCGGATATCGACCAACACCGTAGACGCTATGGAGCTCTCCTATGAGACTATGCTACAAAGAAGCAAGAAGATGGGTCAATCAGTGAAAGTGAGGTTACAGGCAGGCTAGCAAGGAGGAAGGATGCTCCTGCTTTGAATGAGAAGACTAGAGTCCAGAGAAAGAAGAAATAGTGTCCTGTTTTCCTAGTTTAGTTGATGCCAATTTATAGTTGAAGGAGAATACACTACTTTATAAACAAAATTTTTATTTTTTTATTGCAACATACCTTTTTGTTTTGTTATTTTATCTTTCATTATTAGTTGTTCACTTGAATATAAATTGGTTGTTTACAACACTGTATCTTCATTATATTAAACATGAGTATTTTGATGTTAGAATACAATTTGGCTACAAATAATCTTCACAATATCTACATTTTGGAAACACTCAATGCAGTTATTGTATATAATTTTGTAGTTGTATATGTTCATAATTTTATGAAATACCTTCAAGTTCTAGGTAATATCTATATATAATTGTCAGTTGAAGTTAAATTACACAACAAACAGAAGAAATAAACACTCCAATCATAGAAATATATTATCCACAATTTATCTACAAATCATCTACAAATTATTACCAAGACTACAATTTAACTACATTTAACCTATATTTTACCTACAATCTGAAAACACTTTACATTAAAGTTACTTTTTTTAATATCAGTTGTATTGTAGATAATAAATATTAAAATTTAATTATACTATATCAAAGACAAATTTAGATGCCTGACACAATACATAAAAGCATATTAAACACACATAAACAAATTGTAGTCTACTTCATAATGATCTTTAAAAACTTAAACGATTACACAAAAAATCTGCTAACTTTAACTCACTAACAGTTAGTTTGAATAACTATTCTAACTACATGATATTCATTTCTTCTTGGGCGTATTCTTGCAAGATCTTTTGTTATGCCCTTCACCTCCACAATTTCCACATGACACCTTGTACTTCTTTGACTTTATTTCATCATATGTTTTATATCTTTCCTTTTGAGGTCTCCCTGGCTGCCTTTTATCTCCCATCGGTGGATTTACTACCTCATCCAAAATATGTTGTGGCACATTCCATTTGCTTTCATCAGGAAGAGGATTTACTGGTATTTCATACGTACGCAGAAGGCTCTCCCTTGTGTAATACGGAGAGAAATAGTTTTCATATGTTTCATTCCTGTGCCTTAATGCTTCCAAAGCATGCGCACATGGAAGTTCTTCAAGTTGGAATTGGCCACAACTACATTTCTTATTTTCTAGACACACAGTGTACCGCTTTACACCATCTAACACAGTATGTATATGATCTGTTGAAGCCCTCACCTACAATTGCAGAACAAACAGAAACAATATTATCTCAATCATAAAAATAGATTATATACAACTTATCTACAAATATTCTATACCTTATCTACAAATATTCTATACCTTATCTACAACCTACAATTATCTACAATTTGACTACAATTTATCTACAATCTGGAAACACTGCATATTAAGTAATTTATTTTTTCTGCACCAAATAAACAGATCTTACCCTAAACTTCTGAGATAATGTTATGTTGTTCTCTAATTATTTGTTGAATTTGGACCCAAGAAATGTGAAAGTACCCTTCGCCTTCAATAACTTCTCGTTGGTCCAAAGTTCTAGAAATGTCCGCATATACTCTAAAAGGTCAAATATCGGCAGCTCTCTTGCATCTTTTGTTACAGCGTTCAACGACTCTGCAATATTTGATGTCATTGTCCACGTTTTATTCACTGTTGCATGTAATCTTGACCATCTATGATAGCCAATATCATATAGGTAAGATTTCACACGCGGGTCTACCTCTTCATTCTTCGACATACTTTCATTAAATTCATCCAGAGTGTATGACCGTGCTGTAGCAAAGTACAATTCATGTAATTGTAGATGACCCTTCTTGAATTTTGACCTTATATTTGTCCAAATATGCCACATGCAAGAGTGTGGCATGCCCGTATAGACAATTGATGTTGCCTTCAGTATACTCTCATTCCTATCTGAAACAACACACATTGAAGGTCTTTCACCATATGCCTGCTTGAATTGCTCAAAGAACCACTTCCAAGATGCGTCATTTTCAGAATCAACCACAACATATGCCAAGGGCAATATTGTACCTACATTATTAATTTATAAAATATTAATTGGCAGCTTTGAAAATGTATATAAAAATATAAATACATAACAACTACAATATATCTTCATAATATAGACAATTTATCTACATTTCATGTAATAGCTACAAAATTACTACAATGTATCTACATTTTATAGACTTGCCTACAAAATAACTACAAATTTTTTACACTTTTTACCTGCTGCATCCATGGTTCTTGCTGTCAGCATAATCCCCCTGTAGGCTGACTTTAAGAATGTCCCATCAACCACTACTACTGGCCTATAATGTTGCCGACCACTTATTGATGTACAAAGAGCAACAAAAGCGTATAAGAAGCATTCATCTGATGTCTTCTTCAATTTAACAACCGAACCATGATAAGTCTCCTCAAGAATATAAAAATATTTGGGTAATTTGCTGTAGGAGTCAACCGGATTCCCTCTCAAAAACTGTAAAGCCTTTTCCTTTACTCTCTATGCTTGCATGTAGCTTAGGTTCACTCCGTGTTCGGATAACATGTCAGTTTGTACGTCCTTTGGTGTGTAAACAGTCTTAGGATCACAATACTTTGGAATGACCATGCTACCAACTACAGCTGCAGTACATTTGCGCTGTATGAATGTTTCGTCCATTAAGGAGCATGTGTGTTGTCAGTTGAAACTCCTTATCTTGAACATTGCGGAATCATTAATTGACGTTGCCTTGAAGTGCCATTTACAGTTTTCACCAACGCATACAAGGCAGTAGCTACAAAAAAATACAATATATAATACAGATTATAAATGTAGATGCAACAAAATGACAGTTTTAACATAAAGTAACATAAACTACAATTTAACTACAATTTATCTACAATGTTTAAAAAATACATATCTTGAGTAAAACACTGCTTTTAATGATCTTTTCTCCACAAATATCTCCATACCTTCTATGACTAGATCTTTTAACTCTGAACTGGAACTTGTGCATCACAGAAAAGTGCTTCATTGCAGCAACTACAGTTGCTTGTCCTGATACACTTGTCCTTCTTCGATAGTAGTTTGCGTAGATTCTGTTATTATTTCACTTTGATATTCCTCTTTAGCTGGAGAGGATGACATATCAAGTAACTTTAGGGATCCATACGAACCTGCATCAAAATAAAGATAACAATGTCATTATAATTTTGTAGAATCTTTGTAGATATAGTGAGAATTTTGTAGTCATCCATTTTAGGATGTCAGACATTGTAGTTAAATTGTACTATAACTGTTGCAATTTGTAGAAATTTGTGAAAATAATACTGCTTCGTACATAATTAAACTGATTTGTATTTTATTTGACTAGATTTTGTTCTAAACATAGATTGTAGTTTTATTTGAAGACAACATTTTGAAATCAACAATTTCTAATCATAGATTGTAGTTTATTTGGTCGTATAAATGTAGTAACTTTGTAGATAATTTTGAAAACAACATTGCTTTATTCTTTTATTAAACTGATTTGTAGTTTAATTGTAGGTAAATGTAGTAATTTTGTAGATAATACCGTAAAACCATAATTCTATGCAATTTCGAACTATACAAACCTGCACTTGTGTTATCGTTGGTGATTGCCAATTCCATATTGAAATCTCGTACACTTATACATAACGGATATGAACCTAAGTTTTTATTCTCCTTTTTGGTCTCCATATACACACGAACCCCCATATCATTCCTAATCTCCATTGGGGGACAATTGTCGTTCACCATGTATTTGATTTCTACAAGTTTTTCTGAAGTATCAATCAATAGTTGTGCTGCAATTGTAGAAATCAGAATACTGTAGCTTGCATTCTCATCTACCACAATGGCATCAACTTCAAAATCTCTAAATCTGCCATAGTTATCCCAATTCCCATTCAATTGTAGCATGATTGCGATTTTGGACATGATTGTGTGTTGTTGCTGATGTATTATTCTAAATTTTTTCGTTTTTTTGGATTTCAAGATTGAAAGAAAAAAAAAAACAGATATATGATCGCCAATTTGATTTCTGAAAAAGACGAAGAACAGAATATAGCAATGTTGAGTTGTTGAATCTCGAAGATTTGAATTCTACAATTTGAATTCAGTTTGTTGAAGCTGTTCGTAGATTTTTTTTTTTTTTTTTTTTTTTTTAAATTTTTGAATTGTATTTTAAGAGTAAATTACGCAGATGCGAAATCTCCTTTCCGTTTCAAAACTTGAATTTAATGTAGAATCAATCAATCTCAAGATTCTTTCCTGATTTTTCGCGCGTTATTAAGGGAAGATTCTGCCCTATTAATTCCTAATAAAGGAATGGTACAGAAATTGTAGGAAAAATGTAGACTAGGCGGGCAATTTAGATACTATGCACATATTTGGTAATAAAGTTTCATATATGGTATTGGAAGGAAAAATCCCATAAGAATATTCTTATTTGTGAAGATCCAAGAGAAATTATTGTTCCACCAACTCGAAAACTAGAGCTATGGATTAAGAATCCTTGGATGTATCTTGAAAAATTCGCACATGATCTGATAACGCGGCGCCCTGACATAATATCTATTGTGCCATGTACAGAGAGCAAAATGGTCCAGGTATAAACCTTACATTACATTATACTACCCTAATATTTTTATATGAGATGAAATTCTCACACGGTCACACCTAGTTCCTAGGCGCACATATGCACATGAAATTAAAATCCAAAAACATTATATTGCATAATTGTTTCATTATCATAAGAATTTGACCTATGATTTTATATTGTTTGCAGAGTACGATTTTCTAAGAAAAGACATGTATTGAAACCCCTTCATATATTTTGAACCATCCTTTATATATATATCTAAGATTTTCACAAATTTGAAATAACAGGTGTTCCATGAAAGAGCAACAAGATACATGGAGAAACAAAATGGAAGACCAATGAAGTCATTCATCACAAAGGGGCATCTGAAGATGGCGGAACATCCCAGTTCTACTCTTGGCTGAACTGCACGCCCCAAATTGAACGTATTACCACTTTTATGTTCAAATGGAAGGAACCTCCTTTCACCTAGTCTTTTTTTTTTCTTTCATAATACTAATTGTATGAGTCCAAATTTGAACAAACACAACCGTTGATGAGTACGACGAACGACGAGATCCTCACAGCTCGACATCTTGAAGAGGGCGACCTTAATGCGAACAAGAGACGGTACGACCCTTGCAGTAGTGCAGGCCCAGTAGGGGACATTAGGAATATTCTTATAACTTGTCTTCTAGAACTGAGAAAGGTTGGGTTCCTTATATATATATCATGAAGCAACTTTGTAAAAGAATACTTTTTTGCTAATCCGTAACACTTGTTGTAAACTTGCTTACATAAAGGATTGAGAAGATTATTGTGGAAGGTCTTTTTGGTTTGGATTAGCTAAAGAATTCTTATCATCCGTGTTCCCCCTATCTATCTTTCGTTCTAGAGATTATTATAATTAGCTAAGATTTACCCCTTCATTTTCTTTGATTGATTTGTTCAAAAAGGTTCCGATATCTTTTGAATCAAATAATTTGGCGCCGTCTGTGGGGATTTCTATAGTTGAGACCTTAGTTTCGTCTAGATTCTTAAAAGAAATAATCACCTCTTTTTAGTCTCACAAAGGCCAACAATGGCAGGAAAGGGAGAAGCAAGGCTAAAGGCAATAGTAAGTGTCACGAACAACCTCCTGATTCCCTCAATGAAGCCAGCGGAGAAGACAATAAAAATGCAACACCAAGTACTACAACTGAGGGAGAGATCTCACCCCCCCGCACGAGGGTTTAACTGTCTCGCGTGAGAGGGAAACCTCAACATCCATAGCAGGAGAAGCACCACCGGCCATGAAAAGGCTATTAGAAGAATGGTTGATAAACACCTTGAGCAACATACTCGAGAAATCCGTTCAGAGGGATATCGAAGACACATTACCCGCAGAAACCGCAGCTGTCGCCGATGAGCCAGATACTACACAAACAGGTAACACCCGTACTGTCGCTGATGCAGGTAACAATGCACTTGCNAATCTACCTGTTGACTTAATAAAATGATATTGCATACAACATTATTTGCCATATTTTGACCTTGAAAACATAACGGATTTTACTAATGCAACTTTCAACANTGAAAGAGCATCAGGAAAGGGTTGATAAAATACCGGGCGCTCCGAAGTTGCTACCAAAATGTGACATGGGCCGATTCGTCGAACAGCCATACAGCGAAGGGGCAGCTCCCAACTCTATTCCAAAAACCTTCAAAATGCTGCCATATCTGATAATTTATGACGGCATCATAAACCCGGAGGATCACTTAGTCCATTACGTTGCTGCAGTAAAAAGTAATGATCTATCAAAAGAACAGGTGGCGTCAGTACTACTAAAAAAGTTCGGCGAAGCTCTGACAGGAGGAGCGTTGGCATGGTATTCCCAACTACTAGCACGATAAATATCAACGTTCGAAGAAGTGGCAGATAAGTTCGTCACCGCTCACGCGGGAGCGAAAAAGGCACAGGCCATGGTAAATGATATCTTCGCCGTCAGGAAAACGACTGTCACACCTCCTTTTCCCGCCCCCATGAGGGTGCGTGGGAGTTTTTTCCAATTAAAGGACAGTCGAAACAGGATTTGTTTATTTGTTTCAGAGTCGCCACCTGGGAATTTTAAGGCGTCCCAAGTCACCAGTTTTAATCCCTGAATCGAGGAGAATATGACTCTGTTTGTTATTCTGCGAACCAGAAATCTTGAGTAAGGAATTCTGTTAATCCGGAAGAAGGTGTTAGACATTTCCGAATTCCGTGGTTCTAGCACGGTCGCTTAACTGTTTTTATTCTTGGCTTATCTTGATTTTACATTTTTATTGCAGGATTTTGTTACCGCTTCTGTTTATTGTTTACCATAAACGAATTACGCGTACGTATATTCGTATTATACATTTTCATAGATATAAAGAATCGTGTCACGCATATGTGTACACAATAAAATTGACCATATTATAGTTTTTATTAAAAAATCATATGTTCAAAATTTAAAATAAAATTAAGAACATCGTCACCTTTGTATTTAAACAATGAACTGCACATCTCGGGTTATATGAAATTATTTTAACATCCTCGGAGAAATCCCTTTTTATTAAAATGTTCACTCGAAGTTGCGCGAACGCATAATTCGAATTGCTTTTAGAAATATAATCAGGTTACGCGAACGCATCCCTAATTACACAAAATATTCTTAATGGTAGTATAGATTTTCCACAAATTGTTTATTATATCTATACATTTTATGTAAAAATCATGAGAAATCTCCATTCAAGATACCCTTAAATTCTT